AGCGACTACACATGACACATCGACAATAAAAGCCTAGCGAGCGACTACACATGACAGATTGACACTTACAGCCCAGCGAGCGACTTTCTCGTCGTTGAGCTTCTTAAGCTTAATGTTGCAATGCAAAACCATGTTCTTGGGAAAACGTCGTCAGCAACGACACAAATTCATGAAACACACTAGCATCAAGACAGCTTGACATTTTGCCCCACTCTATCCTCATCGGTGTTAATTTGTGTAAATGCTCCTCAAGTTGAGGTAGACCTTTATATGAAGCTGGCTTTTGTGTTTTGCGGAAAACAAAATCTAAATTATAAGATATTATCACCTCCTCTTCAAGAACTGATTGAAAACTAATGGCTGAATTACAATCATGATACCACTTGGAACAACAAGGCATGGACAAGGGGATTTAGTAGACGAATGATAAAAGAGAAAATGATCGTTCTTCTTTATTGACCCGGATAAACATGAGCAGGTGGCACTGAGCTAGCGGGTTTACAAAAGGATTTCAAATTCCATCCAGGATTGGAAAACGCAGTGAAAATGTCAATGTTGCATTTGGCATTATACATTGAGTGGGTTGTAATTAGTTCAGAAGAGGTATATATACTGACGATAAATAAGGCAACTAATGATTTGAATGTCGTTATCGTTGAGGTGTATATTTAATATACCATGGCGATGCATCTGAACGCAACATCTAATCACAACGACATTTCACATCATGCAAGAACAGTACGTGATGCACGTGCAATCAGAAGCTAAACTATGTGCGCCTGTCGGGGAACTCACAATCATGAATGCAAGTGAGCTAAGCAAACGCTTTAAAATGCTTACAAGAATAATAAACAAACAAGATGACGAATTATTGGGACAATAGAAGAGGGAACTCAATGTCCCTCAGCTGCCCGAATCTGCAGTTTCTCGTCTGTGGGACAAGTACTGTCAAACGACCCGGGTGTGGCGGACCTAGTAAAACGACATCGACACTAGACGTCCTGTCGTTGTTCTATTAGCTGGAAAAAATCTTCAGAAATGTTGAAGTGCAAGATGACAATATAAGACTACATCGTGCCCAGGTCATCACTGATTATCTACGGATGAGACATGGACTAGCCAGCTAAGTCCAATAGAGCACATGTTGGGCAACCACACGCAAGGTAATCAACGGTATGCAATGATTGTGTCGTGCATTTATCGCCTAACAAGGAGGACATAACCGATATTGATCTACACGCCCGAACATACAGTCATGTATCGTCATTACAAATTCCTTCATTTCGTCAGTGCGGTAGTACGTATATTAACCTTTATGAAAGGACAAGATATGATAAAGGCACTCATGGGCCCAAATCATTCGCATAATTGAAGAAAATTGCTTTGACAGTTCTCAGATGGGTTCACTTGAATGATAAATAGCTGTTATTTCTTTGAATCGCTTATTGGCATTTGCGTTGCATGCATCACCCACGATGAGACGCAGTCAACCAAGTCACTGAGCCTGACCCCTAGGGGTCCAATCTCGGCCTATCGTTCAACTCCTCGAGATCACTGAATTTCCTGAAAGCTGATTAACGTGCCGAACGGGAATTAGAATCGTCTGAAAAGAAATCCACAATAACATGTGTTCACTGTGCAAATTAATGATCAGCACGATTAACGATGCTGATCGCGCATTATGTAACGTGGGAACTACTGCTTCACCTGTACAGGTAGCAGGTGAGTCATTTGGATTCAAGAAGCAAGATGCCAACAACGCTGAGATAGAAGCACTGTAGCAGGCCAGCGTCAAATACATACAAGTCTTAGTACTTTGATGAAATACCAAACAAGTGTGTCTGACATTATATCCTTCAAAGCCAAGACATAAAGCATCATTTATCAAGATAACAATTCTAAGCATTACTGTCATCGGCCATGTCTAGTTACATTTATGGGATTCCAGGTTACATCTTTATCGATGGCACACGTATTTGAACTGCGAATTATGGGATCAGACGTGTAAAGCCTGCAGTCGTGAAATATCCATTACTCAATAGTGCCCATCGGATACTAAGACATATTTGCTTAAATAAAACGTCATCACCAAAGAATAACCAGTCTCGATTATCCGAGACAGAGACAGACTATTTTCCTCGGTCACTGCTCCAAAACATATATGTGGATGTCTTTTATGACAACACACTTTATTTCAAGACATCAAGCATCTACAGCGAACAGATTTCCCCATCCCCCACCCCACCAGTATTTTCCGGCACAAATTAAATATAAAACTTCCGAGCATCCCTACCACAGCATTTCTCCTTAAGAATACCAAACGTTCGGTTCCTTACACCCGATTGTAGCTGATCTCCCTGCAGCACAGAGAGTGGACTCATGAGGCTGTTAGTATTTGACATCCCCTTACACTGATCTGACCTTATTGTCAGTGACATCCAGTCAACATCACCAGTGAGAATCAATAATTACATCCTGAATTACACAGGAGAACGTTCAGACAGTTTGTACTGAATAGCCACATTGCAAGATCGAGTATTTGTCGAAGACATTACTGTTTGTTTTTCGTTTGTTCTTTTTTGTACTAAACCGCCGTGCAAAATGAAGTATACACTTGAAAATACCCGCTTCACACTGCTCATCACTTTACTGTGAAATTGCGAGAATTGAATAACCATGGCTTGTTTGGTTGATTTTAGCCACCATCAAAAATAGGTGCATACCTATATTTGCCCGATAGTTTTGATAATAAGACATAACTCAGATTGGGAAAACGATCGTGATATTCGCGATATCAGGGCTACGGGTGTTCTAGTGGTCCAAGCGTACCAACTCACTGTGAGGGATTCTGTTTGCAGTGACACAGATGATGTCCGATGCATTTCACTATTATTATACCATATGTTCCTGTGTTGTTGTTGTTATTTTTCAGGTGAACAATTGACTTGCCTTTGCATGTGTTTGTGACCGGGTGAGGCCGGTGGGGCAAGATACGTTCTTCTGTTATTTGATAATGATTCATAAATACATGCTCAAGATGTAGTCGGAATCGTACAATCGACTCTACTTATTGCAGAGATTTCTATTGAATGTGGAAAAGGACTTTGTGCTGTAAAAATGTACTTTAGTAGTTAGTAATTTGTATTTACAAAATAATTCCAACAAAATATTATTGAAACTCCATAATCCTAAGGAGTCCATTGTATGATTCAGACTATGTCATGAGCATGTGCTTATGAATCTTGACTTACAGGTCACCAACACAAATGTCCATCTGGAAAATTGTAGCGGGTGGTCAAGGTCGATGACTTGGCTGATTGTCACCATACCGCGACGGTGTGCGGACTTTCTCAGAGCAACAACCTCAGGTCTGTCAATGATTCACAGGCCTATGTAAGACCGCTGGAGTAAATTACAAACAACAATCAAATACTGTAAATATAGTCCCTATAATAACCAGCTTCTGTAATCGCTGTTTCTACTATATGCTGAGTCTATAATGGCAGTATTCACAATAACCTGTACCTGTATTAACAGTGAGCGACAATAGCCTGTATCTGGTAAGGTTATACGCCAATACCTGATGTCTAATCGTGATCCGACTTCTACACCCCCGAGGAAAACGTATTACTCCATCGATACCAGCAATTTACTCGTCAATTCATGTTAATGGGCACTTCATCTTCGGCATCATGTATCATCTTTCTTTGCAAATTGCGCACAAATTAAATTCCGGACGCGTTTTCATCTGAAGGTGCATTCTCCTTATCAACGGAAATTGCATTTCAAAATATTTTCTGTTAAAGATCAATTTAGCTTTTTAAGGTGGCGGCTAGGATGCATGAAATGAGAGTCTAACAGTGACAAGTTTATCGATATCTGCTGCTGCAACATACAGATGCCAACCATAGGAAGAGGCCACATGCTTTAAGATAGACACAACGTATTCACGGAATATATAAGAAAACAATTATTAACAAAGGTATTTGCTTATAGATTCACTGAATACAGTTCACGTATGGCTTTTTCATACTTATGGCATCGAGCGTGAAAATAACTTCCTTCTTACCACAGGTACTACATTGTTGCCGCTTCACACCACAGACATACCGTTACCTTTGCTTTTTTGTTATCCCCAAGTTGTCTCCGCATGTACAACTATGTTGTCATTACGGGCAATAGTGTAACTAAGTTAATCGTTCTGCCTCCTTCACACCACAAGCATAACTATAGGTCATAGCTACTGTCTCTGTAACACCAGGTAGGACTGTAGATACTGGCTACTGGCTGTAACACCAGGTAGGACTGTAGATCCTGGCTACTGGCTGTAACACCGGGTAGGACTGTAGATCATAGCTACTGTCACCGTCACACCACAGGCAGGAGTGTAGGTCATAGCTACTGTCATCGTCACACCACAGGCAAGACTGTAGATCATAGCTACTGTCACCGTCAAACCACGGGAAGGACTGTAGGTCATACCTACTACCTCTGTTACACCAGGTAGGACTGTAGATCCTGGCTACTGTCTGTAACACCAGGTAGGACAGTAGATCATAGCTACTGTCACCGTCACACCACAGGCAGGATTGTAGGTCATAGCTACTGTCATCGTCACACGACAGGCATAACTGTAGGTCATAGCTACTGTCACCGTCAAACCACAGGAAGGACTGTAGGTCATAGCTACTACCTCTGTTACACCAGGTAGGACTGTAGATCCTGGCTACTGTCTGTAACACCAGGTAGGACTGTAGATCATAGCTACTGTCACCGTCACACCACAGGCAGGATTGTAGGTCATAGCTACTGTCACCGTACCACGACAGACACAACTGTAGGTCAAACATGTAGTTTCTGTCTCCGTCACACCACAGGCATGACTGTAGGTCATAGCTACTGTCACCGTCACACGACAAGCAGGACTGTTGGCCATTATATGTAGCTTCTGTCTCTGTTACACCATAGGGAGGACTGCAGGTCATACATGTAGCTACTGTCTATGTCATACCACAGCCAGGACTGTAGGTCATAGATATTGTCCCCGTCACACCACAGCCAGGACTGTAGGTCCTAGCTACTGTCTCCGTCACACCACAGCCAGGACTGTAGGTCATAGATATTGTCACCGTCACATGATAGGCAGAACTAAAGGTCATAGCTACTGTCTCTGTCACACCACAGGCAGGACTGTAGGTCAAAGATATTGTCACCGTCACACAACAGCCAGGACTGTGGGTCATAGCTACTGTCTCCGTCACACCACATCCAGGACTGTAGGTCCTAGCTACTGTCTCCGTCACACCACAGGCAGAACTGAAGGTCACAGATATTGTCTCCGTCACACCACAGCCAGGACTGTAGGTCCTAGCTACTGTTTCCGTCACACCACAGCCAGGACTGTAGGTCATAGATATTGTCACCGTCACACCACAGCCAGGACTGTAGGTCCTAGCTACTGTTTCCGTCACACCACAGCCAGGACTGTAGGTCATAGATATTGTCACCGTCACACCACAGCCAGGACTGTAGGTCACAGATATTGTCTCCGTCACACCACAGCCAGAACTGAAGGTCACAGATATTGTCTCCGTCACACCACAGCCAGAACTGAAGGTCACAGATATTGTCTCCGTCACACCACAGCCAGGACTGTAGGTCATAGATATTGTCCCCGTCACATGATAGGCAGAACTAAAGGTCATAGCTACTGTCTCTGTCACACCACAGGCAGGACTGTAGGTCATAAATATTGTCTCCGTCACACCACATCCAGGACTGTAGGTCATAGATTTTGTCCCCGTCACATGATAGTTAGAACTAAAGGTCATAGCTACTGTCTCTGTCACATCACAGGCAGGACTGTAGGTCATAGATATTGTCTCCGTCACACCACATCCAGGACTGTAGGTCATAGATATTGTCTCCGTCACACCACAGCCAGGACTGTAGGTCATAGATATTGTCTCCGTCACACCACAGGCAGGACTGTGGGTCCTAGCTACTGTCACCGTGACACCACAGGAAGGACTGTAGGCCATATATGTAGCTTCTGTCTCTGATACATCACAGGGAGGACTGTAGGTCATACATGTAGCTACTGTCTATGTCATACCACAGGCAGGGCTGAAGGTCACAGATATTATCTCCGTCACACCACAGCCAGGACTGTAGGTCACAGATATTGTCTCCGTCACACCACAGCCAGGACTGTGGGTCCTAGCTACTGTCTCCGTCACACCACAGGCAGAACTGAAGGTCACATATATTGTCTCCGTCACACCACAGCCAGGACTGTAGGTCACAGATATTGTCTCTGTCACACCACAGCCAGGACTGTAGGTCATATATATTGTCTCCGTCACACCACAGCCAGAACTGAAGGTCACAGATATTGTCTCTGTCACACCACAGCCAGGACTGTAGGTCATAGATATTGTCCCCGTCACACCACAGGCAGGACTGTGCGTCATAGCTACTGTCACCGTGACACCACAGGCAGGACTCTAGGCCACAACTAGGACACACGTCCCCGCCACATCACAGACAATACTGTGAGCCATGGCTTCTGTTCCGGGAATAACCCAGACTGATCACCATCTTACAAGTATAATCGGTTTAAATCTATTTTATCAAGCCATTAGATTCAGCCCCACATCCATTGCGGTTTCCAAACCGACTGCCATTCCGATTATAATGTGAACCAGCAAATTATTGGATGAACAGCCAAGCACAAAATCAGTTGGTGGTAAATTTGAGCTGACTTCTGTGTATACACGTTCCTGAGACTATATATCAAATAACCGATTGTAATATAGGATACTGTTGCATCCATACATAGAAATGTTGCATATTACTTGTCATTTAGTAATGATGTAAACATTAACAGGTAGGTGATTTACTTGGGGGTGTCAGCTACAACAAAATGTGTATTTGGATTTGTGAGTGGATTTCAAACTAAATTTCGGGACATTAAATACACAAATATGAAAATACAAGATCCTTAATTATCGACATTGTAAAGAACTAAGTACTAAAGTTTTCAGTACAGTGAGCTCTGACAGCTGTGGACAGATATCAATGCAATATCCGTTTGGCCAAGCATAATGCCATGTCTTGACACAAGTGAAATAGAAAAAGAAAATGTTATATTAACACACAGTGAAAAATCCATAATATATCCAGATTTTAGATTTCAGGCTGCGGCACACACTTATTACAAAGTTATGAATGCCATGAAAGTATACATATGAACTTTGCTTACTTTTGCTTCCTATTAGTTCACGCAGCCCGCAGCTTTCGTCGCATTGATGTAATGTGCTTATGCATTTGAGAAATAGTATATCTGAAACCCTAGAGACAATTGTCCACAATGATGCCCTGCTCCTGTAAAAGTTCGATATCCGTGGGAAGATTGGCAACAGGGAAAATAAAGGGTGCTGTATTCGTCTATAAGTACCATGATAGGATGGACAAATTCAGACATATGTTACGTGTTTATTTTTAGGGAATAGTTGATAGACGTTTGTAAGCAGTGACTTCACTTGAAATACAAGACAATGCACCAAAGAAATGACATTATTAAAAATGGTGAAATATCTCGTGTTCTGATATCCCCAGATAATTTATCATCATCAGCCTATTTCTATTTGTACAGCAACACCACATTCCTTTATCAATGCTTTTCACACAGCTCGAAAGAGGATTCCTATGGGGAAATGCTTAGACATCTTGATGAATCCCACAAAACATTATTTGAATGAATATGATTTAATCCCTTAGGCACACACACGTTGAAATTTTTTGTCAAACTAAATATGAAGAAATCGTCTTAATATTCCTTCAAATTAGTCGATGCGATACCAAGGCTTCTTGTCACACTCGATCAATGAGGCAAATGTTCCAGAGCGTCTCTCGGACACTGAAATATGATGACTATATTTTGCCTCATTAGGGAGTGCCGAGCAGTCATCAAGGTTTTTTTTTACTTTGTAAAAGGACTCCCCAAGAAATTCATGAACACTTGTCACAAGTGTATGGGGATAAGTGCCCCAGATATTCCACTGTTGAACGTTGGCAGCTATCTTTAAGGCTGGGCGACCCTCAACTTCCATCAATGAAGATTCAATCAAGGGGATAAAAAAACTTATACTGTCAGACAGACGTATAGCCATTGTTTGACTTTGAGGAAGACACAGGTCTAAGCCATGGATCCACTGAAACTATTATTCATGAACATTTACAGATGATTAAGATGTCTGCTCGTTGAGTGACAAAGTTTCTAAATTCTGATCTTATGGAAGAAAGAACTCACACTGCCATTTAGAGCTAATGAAGGAGGATTTCGTCAATTTCAAAAAGAGATTAGTAACGGGTGAAGAAACATGGGTCTACCACTATGATCAAACTTCTCCGACACAAAAGTTATGGCTACTGTATTCTGGGATGCAAAGGGTGTGATCCTCTCTGATTGCCTTGAAAGTCAAATGACGATTACAGGTGCCTTCTACGTTGTTTGCTGATTTGTCTTATCGCCTGAGAGATTAAATCGAAAAAAACCGGTGAGTAATGCTGACTGCTGGAGATTTACCACTTCATGACACTGCCTCTTCTAACACCTCTCGACTTGCAAAGGCTGCTGTGCGACAATGTGGATTCGAAGCGCTTCCTAAAGCGGTATGACGACAACGATGACCTCAAAGCTTTCGTGAATTGGTTTTTCATGATGGCTTCAGAAAACTTCTTCCTGACTGGAATTAAAAAGTTTCACGATCGATATGAGAAGTGTATTGAAAAGCGGGGATATTATGTTGAAAAAATAAAAGTAAATACACTGTCACAGATATTGGTTTAGTTTGTTAGGCTTAGAACGTTTTGACAAGCCCTCCTATAGAAATAGACACTTTATTGTCAATTGTCAATTGTCAAATTGTCAATCGAATGTCTGATTCTCTCTATCTCTGTCTCACTCTCTATAATATATCTAATCTGTATAATTAATGTAAATCTTTCACGAGCAGGGAAAATTTTCCCAACAAGGAATATCGTGAAGTAAATGACATCTTAATTTACAGTAAAATTACAAAATCAATTCATTTTATGTCAAGTATAAGTGAAAAAATGTTGTTTAAAGTTCTGTCAATATCAATCGCCCAAGAGAAACGTGGTCTTTGTATTTCAACCAGTGTCGTGGTAAATGAACGCTAAAGGACCAACATACAGAAACAGGTACTATATTTTGAAGATTATTGATTAGAGGAACTTTGCCAGTGTAGTATTGTATCCTTATCAATGAGGTCGTTAGAGTCAGGGGATCGGTGGGAGATTGTTTCCTGGTAATGATTACAAATACCCGAGTCGGCAAACCTGTCACTGATAAGGAGGGATTAACAGTAGTTATTATGGTCCAATCTCGGTTTTCCTTGTGATTAATCATGTCGTCCCTAATCCGCGATCAAATCCGAAATCAATTCATCTCTCAACGATTTACTTCGGGCATTGGTAGACTGAATAATATCTACGTGATACGTAAAAGAACTAAAAGCTTAAATGTACTGATTCCCAGCATGGATCTTCAAAATGTAACGTTCAGAACCAGCTTTCCTCTCTGTCTTGTGTCTCCAACATTAACAACAACCAAGGAGGAACAAGGAGTCCAAACAGTTGCCAGGTTGCATTCCTAACAATCTAAGTTCTTCTCTATTCACCGAATATCCAATCTAAAGCAAACTTTTGCTGAGTGAGCTAGTTAATTTTGATCAATTGAATTTCGCTATTATGTGTTACTTTCTTCACATTTACAACGACTTGTACCTAATAGTGAGTTCACTCACCAATCCGGATCAAATACACATACGATTATACAATGTGAAGCTCTTGTCTGCAGTTCTGTCATGATGCCGTAAAATTGCAAAATGCGCCGTGCTCACTCACTTATGAATGGATATTGAGAAGTCACATGTACTGACAGATAGTATGGCTATGTTCAACGATCCCACATATTGTTAGTCTAGACAGCACCGCGCTCGCTCTCTAGTCTTCCCGAGTTCCAAATGATGATCATACACCCAGTCTGTTATCGACGTGCCCATTAATCAGTTTGTACACACAGCGAGAAGGGTCTGGTCATATGGTATCGGGAGATGTCTGGGTAAAATCAGTGTCGCTTAATAGTTGTAACACCATTATATCAATAGTTCAGTATATCCGCTACATAATCTGTCTACACAGGACTTAGACAACATCCTTCCGGCTACTCAAAATTGGAAGATTAATAATATTGGTTTCTGTTATTTATTTCATTCCAAGATCAAGCTATCGATGACACCATCTCGGATGTCTTCTGTATCACCAACAATGATTGATCTTCATGTGTTTGGCTGTCCCAGGATTAGGGACTGTACGATTACATCCGGTTGATATTAGTGGTGGCCTGTGCGCTGGTATTTCGAGAAGATGATAATATTAAATCTGCCTTATGCAATTGAATTCCTGTGGGCACCCCACAGGGTCGCATGAATGTGTTTTTGATTGTGACATTGGTCTTATGTTACTTACTATAGAAAGTAAGAAGATCAGTTCTCTCTTGATCGACTCTTATCGTGACCTCTGTCTGAAATATCTTCAAGCCCATACTTTGAATATAACCGTCATCCCAATTCCTCATTTTGTAAACTTAAACTGCACATACAGTCGAGTAGGATGATAGGGTCCCCCATGCACCCGAAAGATATATACTTTCAACTTACTTTTTATAATCCTCATAGTGTCTACTAAATATATGTGTGATGTTGGCAAGTTGCACAGTCGGGCACATGTGGGATGAGATGGATCGGCGCCTTCGACGTCAACCACGTGTTCCACAGACACTCAATGGCCAGGAACTTCGAAACATGCTCCAGCAGATATGGACAGATATCCCACAGGACTTTGCGCGACGCCTGGTCCATTCCATGAGACGATGATGTGCTGCTTGCATCGCAACCTGAGGCGGACACACACGCTATTGATTTGTAAATTGACATTTTGGCATGTTCATGTT